GTGTGTGTGTGTGTGTGTGTGTGTGTGTGTGTGTGTGTGTGTGTGTGAGAATGAGAAAGTGAGATACTAGAGCTATCGGAGCGTGTGTGTGAGTGGCTTTTAGTGTAAGGTTTGTGTGTGTGTGCATACGTGTGTGAAACAGACAGTGTGTGTGTGTGTGTGTGTGTGTGTGTGTGTGTGTGTGTGTGTGTGTGAGAATGAGAAAGTGAGATACTAGAGCTATCGGAGCGTGTGTGTGAGTGGCTTTTAGTGTAAGGTTTGTGTGTGTGTGCATACGTGTGTGAAACAGACAGTGTGTGTGTGTGTGTGTGTGTGTGTGTGTGTGTGTGTGAGAGTGCATGTGTCAAGGTTCTGCCAGTCGCTGTTTTTTAAATGACTCTGTGTCTTAATCAGGGACCCCATTTACATCACTTTGCATAAGTGACAGGTGGATTTATTGTCCTTTCACACCGGCTGACTTTTGCACCTATCCATATAATACTGAATCATCCCTCCGCAGGGAGGAATGAATGCGCCACCGCCGAAGAATACAAATGATTTCCACACACTTGAGGTGATGATGAATCAAACAGATGAAAGCCCCGGGAGCAGCATATGAAATTTGATTTGATCTACTCTGTGCGCGCGACAAGCCACATCATTGTCAGGCTTGTAATGGGTAGCAGTGGCCTAGTTAAACTTAAACAACCCCCCTCCTCCCACTTCATGCATACACACACACACACACACACACACATATCCTAGTACCCCTCCCCCTGTCAGTTCTGCCTTGTGCTCCTTGAGCAATCAAGCCTCAACGATTGTTCTCCATCACATAGCCTGCTCTGGACCGGCCCCTCGCCATCTGTGAGGTTATTGCTCTTTTTTTTTTCTTCTTTTTTTTGTGAAATGCAGGCTGACCGAAACACACCCTCACTGACACACACACTCATGCGCTCACACGGCTCACTTTTGTTGAAATCTATAAATCAATACGAGTCACACACATTTCATCTGCGAGTTAATTCCGTCCGTCGTCCCGGCGGTGGATGAGAAGTTGTCACGAAATGAGACACGCTGTCAAGGTTGAACTAAGGGCTGGATAACACAAAGTGACTGATGTACACATGTAGCGATAGCCTCAGAAGATTGTATCTCCAGCTTTCTATTTTTTGTTACTACAGCTGAAGCATTCCTGGCCAGCAGCTCCCTTTCTTTTCATTTTTTGGAATAGATATGCATCTCTGTTGCCGCAAGCGCACACACAAATTCTTCCCCCTGCGTCGCTGCAAGCTGTAAAATGCACATCTCTTCCCTTTTTAAAAAGCCGTCTGTCAAAGTTGGCCATGACAAGTCCTAAGTGCTTGGGCACCGGGGTGAGGAATTTGCCCGGGCCTTGTCACAGTTGGACCTGGACCCAGTCGGCTGCTGCGGGACGACTCATGCACACTCGTACACGGGAGCCCATGTTTGGGTACTAGCTTTCTCAACATGTGTGCTGGGAGAGAATAGATGAGCCCATTGATTAGAAAGCAATCGTTTATTCAGACACAGTTTCGCCAGTGTTTCAATCCGGGGTACTGCAACCAACCATCTGGTCATTATCTTTGCATAGGCTGCCTGCTGCACGGCCGTTTGACTGAAAATAATGGCAAGTTTTATTATGCATTATGGTACTTTTGATTTCATATTTGAAATGGCATAACTAAGGTAATATCCCCTAAAACATACTAAGGCACCAGTAACTTATTCATGTATTTTGATTGATTTAAGGGAAAGCTTTTAGTACTCCTCTGATCTGATTTCTTTGCCCTTTTTTTTGCGCGAGATCGATGCAAAAATTGAATCGGGACCCCGGCTTCGGGAGGAAATGCAGTGGACAATGAGGGAACCGTGGAAGAATGCATTCTGCCTGTAACCTGGTTACTGGGAATGGGCTTTGAGGGAGATTTTGAGTGACATCAGAGCAGCGATACAACTCCATCGATGGGCAAATCATGAGTGATTTCAGAGCGGGGAGTTGGTCTGGAACGTTGTGCGACGTTCGTAGGAGGAAAGATGGGAAAAGTCCGGAGCAGAGAAGATGTCCCATGGGTCTGTTTGTAAAGGTAGGAGAGAGGAGACGAGGTACAAATACATATAGTACAAAACATGTGGGTACTGGCGAGGTACAGCATGGAAATGTAGGATTGTTGGCCAGCTGAGAAAAATATGGGCCCAGAATGGTGGTTGATGGTGTTCTTACGGCCATGGTCAGATGCCTTTTTATGATTCACGTTGTCCGCTTTATTTATGGATCTGTAAACACACACACACTAATCCAGCCGATGACACGGTAAAGTGAGAAACGTGGTCCAGATATTATACAAGACATGAGATTGATCGATAGAATCTTAACACCAAAACTACACCAGTGCAAACTTAACCAAACAAGACTGAGAGTCTGCAGCCGTGAAGGCGGCTCCGTGAGGCTTGCACACACTGGTGCTCTGAGCTACATGCTAATGTCAACATGCTATCATGCTCTCAACGTCAATGCTGTCATGCTGACGTTTAGCAGGTGTGTTTAACATATTCACCAGCATGTTAGCATGCAAACACATTTTGCATGTGCTATTACATTTTGATCTGATGTGGCAAAAGAGGAAAAGTCAGGAGATCACCAAAGCAAAAGGGATTCATCCTCTGGGGAGCATGAATGTCATCGAAATCCATCTAAACCAAAGTGGTGGACCGACCGACACAAAGCTGCAAGTATTATTAACAATGCAAAGCCACATCAATACACCTAAATGCAACAAAAACAAATGAATAGCTCAAGTGAAAGTTTATGAATAACCTTGCTGCCACCTTACTACGTACCTTAGGCTGCCAAAAACCTAAAAATGTACAGTTCTGGAATTTGCAAAGCTCAGCCGAACATCTCTTTAAGTACATATAGAGAGAACGATGGGAAGGTGCTAGAGGCAGCAGCGTGGCTCCAGCGCCTCATATCTGTGTTTGTCAAGTCTAGACACCAGGCGGAGCGTGATTCCCAGGGGTCGGGAGGTGAGGCCAGCGAGGTGGTAGAAACGGATAAACAGTTGCGTCTCCACTCGTTTGGGAAGCACCCTGCGACCAACATTGGCCCGTTGGCGTACATTTCCCAAAAACAGCTGCTGCGAAGGACAGGCCAAAACATAAAACGACCAGCCGGCTGGAAGAAAAGCTCCCAAGATTCGCAGGTTCATGGGAAGGGGGGGGGGTTGAAAGCTGCTGCCAGGCAGAATGACTTCGCCCTTCAGCTGAGAGAGAAACTCTGGTCAAGTGACACGGAGTGGCTCCCCGCCAGCTCCTCAATAACAGCTAATAAGTACATACGAGAGAATCGTCGGGGTCGGTGGAGAAGTTCCTCGAGGCACGTCTCGAGCTCATAGGAAGAGCTCACACAGATGGCCCTCCCGCACACAGGGACGCTCTTTGTTCCGTGAACAACGCTCTTCACACAACACGCCTGGCCTCTGAAGGCCCGTACGGATGATGTCACCCTGTGCATTTGTGTGTTCGACTGTGTATACGTTAGTCCTATAGCCCCACATGTTTGCATCCCACATGAACGGGCCCTCTTGTTCTCCGCTCTGCGTGGCTCCATTTAAGGAGCGCCGACGTGCTCAAACAACAACGTTTGGTCAGAGCGCCGCGTCCGAGCCTCTCTGAGTGTGTGCGGCCGCAGGACTCAGCGCTTGCGGGTCCGATCTGCTCAACGGGGGACATTGTTTTACAGCCCATCAGCGCATCCATCATTGTAACTGCTGGAGAGCCCGTGAAAATGATGAGGGGCCAT